ATGCGTCCATGTCTGCGCGGGAAGATTTGTCGATAATTATTATGCAGTAAATATTTGATTTGTTGTTGCATTTATCTGGATATTGAGAGACAATTAAATTATGGCACAATTAAGGTTATAGAAAGATAAACTAATATACGGTTATCTAAAGATATATAAAGACATTACGGAGTTTATATTAAAACATGGTTTGGGTTGGTGGATCATTGTTGGGTTATTTAATGTCGAAATCATTTGTGATTATACTTGAGTCTATAGATAATCGTCGTTTATACTTGAGTCTATAGATAATTAATGGGCGTTATGTGTGAATCTATATATAATGATCATTTATACTTAAATTTAAATAAATACTGACCGTTTATATTTGCGCCTACAGGTAAATATTGGCCGTTTATATCGGAGTCTATGTGCATTTTAAGGAGGCACGGAGGAAATCCAAGTTGTGGTTGAACTTTCTATTTATAACTAATTCATTTGATAAATTGTTGTATAACACACACACACACAGAGAGAGAGAGAGAGAGAGAGAGAGAGAGAGAGAGAGAGAGAGAGAGACACACACACACACACATATATATATATATATATATATATATATATATATATATATATATATATATACTTGAACGTTATTTTTTAGCAGATACAGTAGGACCTAGGTTCACGAATTTAATTCGTGACCCGAAATGATCATAAACCGAAAATATTTTTCACATAAAAACCAATTAAAAAGCAGATTAATCCGTTCCTGGATTATTGCTTATTTAAACTTTAACAACAGTACTTTGTGCACAAGTTTATACACAAAACTAATGAAAATCATTAAATCTAAGAAAAAAAAAAACCCTTTCGTAACCCGAAATGTTCGTAAACCGAAACTATTTTTCCAATAGGAATTAATGTAAAATGGATTAATCGGTTTCTGGTTACTTATTTAGACTTTTAAAACAGTACTTTGTGCACTAGTTCATACACAAAACCAATAAAAATCATCAAATCTCAGTATCAGTCTATATTTCTGAGAAGAGGTATTATGTACACTATTTACATTATTCAGACTATTGTCCTTATCTTTGTCGCTATATTTATTACCACGTTTCGGCCGCTGTACGCTTCAGCCTTCTTCAGGTGGTTAGAATGTCGAACTGAACCCTTTATTTCGCTCACTGGGGAAGACTTTTCTAGTTCTATGTGCCATAGTGCTATAGTCCGAATAATGTAAACAGTGTATCATTACAAAACAAGACACAATACTAAACTGATAAAATATAGACGCAAACTTCATTTAATTATAGCGTACCAGTACGGAGGAGAGTTAATGGCATAAGTGGAAGGTGACGAGGAAGGAAAAAGGTAGAGATGTTATTATTTGGAGGGGGAGTCCCCTTCCATAAAAAAAAATCAAGTAACTGTCTTTCTGGTGTTTCTTCATTTTCTCTTTTTTGTCTCTGAGTAACACTGGACTCTGAGACGCTTGAGAGTCACTGGACCTCTTTCTCATTAAAAATTAGTCCAATGACATTTGTCTTTGTATATATTTTAAGATGTTTAGTTAATAGTAAAGTGCCCCATTTAATAATTTTGGTACATGCTGTTCTTGAAACGTCTTCGTCCACTTTAAACTTTCATGCTTGATATCGTAATATTTTTAGCATAAAAATGGCTGGCCGTAGCCGAAAAGGGCGCACATAACATTTAAAACGTGTGCCAGAGGTTTTTAAAAGTTTTTAAAAACAAAACCTAAAGAAATTCAAGAGAAGGCACTGCGAATTCGAGCAGGGATGTGTATGGAAGGGAAAGCTATACTGCAACTGACGCTCTCCCGTCGATACTTCCGGCTTATTGCCCAACGGTGTTGCCGGCTTGCCTGTTCGTCTTTCGAGACATTTATGTTCGAAAAATGTGTTTGTAATTAGAGACGTTCGTGATTAGAGACGTTTTTTGACACTGTGTTCCACTGTACCCGTATTTGGGTAGACGATACGTATATAGTTAAACAGTATTTATTTCGTCTTCCGGCCTGCCTACTAGAGAAAACTTAAAAGAGAAAACGTGATCCCTGTCCCAGCAAGAGCACCCACCGTCTGACCCGATGTGCTTTGACATTTCGGCAACGAAGAGCTTCATAAACAAACAAAGTTCTATTTGTCTCTGAAGCAAATTCACTCGTTCAGATTTTATCAACTGGAACATCAGCTCAGAATTAATGGAACCCGTTCAGATTTTATTACTTCAAGCGTTAGTTTTAGTGGCTACCCATATTTGAGTAGATGTTTTGTTTATTTTAAACATTATTTATTCCGTTCCACCGTCTTGCGTACTCAAAGCATCCTGCCGTAGAATACATTTTTCTTTATTAAGATTTTAAGTTGGAGCCCTTATCTTTCGCTAAGGTATCCAACTAACAGAAGCAAAACTCTGATATAACACCCAATGATGTTGACTGTTTCTCCTTCTTGGGTACATGTTGTTCTTGAAACGTCATCGTCCATTTTAAACTTTCATGCTGAGATAATGCTTGATATCGTAATATTTTCAGCATAAAAATGGCTGACCGTAGCCGAAAAAGGCGCACATAACAATTAAAACTTGTTCCAGGGGTTTTTAAATATTTGTATGCTTTAAAGAGCTATATTTGTTTCATGCACAACTACACGACAAAGAAGTGCCTGCCATCATTTCTGTAAAATCATGAAATATATTGTATTAAACATGGTGGCTGTCATCATATATGTAAAATGGATGTATTAAATTATATAAATGACCAAATATCAGATTTATTTTTCGAATGGCTTGACAAAAAAAAAAATGTCCCGCTGAGAACATTTCACTACCGTCTACTTTACAACAAAATGAAGATAGGTATAGTGATTTTCTAAGTGTAGCTTAGCTATGGCGCAAGTCCTAAATCATGGCGCACCCACTGGGGATCAAACTCCCTACTCAGCCGTTATTGATCTAGCGGAACAACATTGCTAGCCATTACACCACAAGTGCCCAAATGAAGATATATATATATATATATATATATATATATATATATATATATATATATATATATATATATATATATGTGAGACGTTCTGGGAAAGTGAGAACTCTGGCCTTTGTGAAGTTATCCATTTCGAAAGAGGCATTTCTGTATAATACCAACGAATTCGATTGCATCCAAGGGTGCAGATAAGTTCTACTTGGATAAAGGTCATGGTTGTTTGCCGAGCGGGATTGGTTCCGTTAAAGGTTTTTCCTCCATTTTAAAAAGCTTCAAACAGATGCATTGCTTGTTAGAAAGCATCATCACGAGAAAAAATGTCTGTCTAAATCGTAATGGCTGACCGTCGCCGAAAAATCCACTCAAGCGCAATGGATGTTAACAAGACTGTGGCAGAGATGATGGAACCACGGCCGGGCTTAAAGGCCACAGTCTGCCTGTACGATATCAAACAATTGCTACATTCGGAAACAAGAAAGCAGCCATCAAGTAGGACGTTTTCTTGCAAACAATGTTCAAATGCCATTCAAGAACAGTGTAACTTATTACCTATTATTATTATTTTTATTCCCTTTGATTTCTGGTGTGTACACGTTTCTTTCCGGGTCCCACCCAGAGACCTAAGGTCAGAAATGCCAACATGACATTTTCCATTGACCAATTAAAATAAAAAACACACACACAAACACCCAACACACACACACACACACACATTTTACATAGATAACCCTTCGTAACACACTGTACACACAGAACACACACACACACACACACACACATGGACACACAGGAATCCTTCAATTAATCTACTGGAATCTTTTCCAACCAATCAGAATTTTATGTTAGATGTGCCCTATTTTTAAGATGCATGGTGCTGTACAGATTTACATTTTTATTGTCCTATTTTTTTCGCCAGGCATGGACTTCCACGGAATTCTTCAATTAATCTACTGGAATCTTTTCCAACCAATCCGTGCCAATTTTGATGGATTCAGTTATCAGTTATCTCCATATTTTTTGAGTTCTTTTAACCAGGAATTGAATTTCTTTGGGTCTGTCATGATCTAACCAATTTTCCACTGTGCCATGTGTTTGAGGACATCTTATGAAGATACATTATAGTCCTAATGTTTTCAGGATCATTTTTACCATATCAATATTGAGATTTTTTACTGTTTTTGCATCTACGGTCTCTGTTAAAAATGTCTGGGCATCCCTTATTACTGGTTTAGCTTTGATTATTTCTCTGCTTGTGTCAGGAGATTTTTGTGGCCCCATAAATGATTCCTTAAGTTTCCGAATTTTCCAATAACCGTGTCATGGGTTGTGATCTCCTTCTTCCATGTTCCGCCTGATTTTTTCTTCCCGTTACAGTTGTTCAAGCCTTACCAGGGGGGCGGCCTGTTTTCATATTCCTTTTTGCAGATATTGTATACACAGTCTTTAGTCATGTCTATGGGGGTTTTATATTTGTCACGCTTTTTTGAAGGTTGTCCTGATGTTATATGGACCGCAGATCTTTTTGATAGTTATAAGGCAGGCAGACTTTTTAGTATAATTGTCCTCCTATTATTATTATATAGTTTATTATATGCCAAACCCATAAGTTGTTGCGTTATAGGATCAAATGATGACCAATTCCTTATTAACTGGATAACTTTTTGGATGTTTGCTATCGGACGATTTTATATTATGGATGGTAAGTCAAGGATACTTTTGAATGTTGGTTTTTACGGATCTTTTCTGTTCATTTATAACAGGAATTGAGTGAGTTGTTACTCTCTTTTTTTGAACTGTATATTTAATGGTAAAGAATGTTCTATTGATTAACATGAAAGTGTCATCTACGTACCGTAACCATATAGTTGGCTTCATTCTTTATACACTCTAATGCCATTTCTTCAAAGTATTCTATCTATATATTCATTCTGATAATGGCTATCATATCATCCTATCGATATATTTCAGATCCCGTTCGAAGTGTGTTGTTTGTGTATTTCAACAGTCCTGTTCATGGAATCTGGTCTATCTATCAGAGGTTATCTATCTATCTATCTATCTATCTATCTATCTCAGTGAACAGTTTCACCATTTTTCTTCTTTTCATTCTTTATTTCTTTCTTTCGGACATATGAAGGAACTTTCCGATCAATGGGTATATATCTCGACTCAGATCTATCTATCTAACAATCGGCCTGAGTGGAATACCGTCTTATGAATAGGGAGACCGTATCTATCTTATGTAATCTATGCCTATCTCTTTCAGATCCCGTTCTTGATTAGGATCTTGACAGTTTCGTTCCGTTTTCATATCTATCTTTCTTATCTGTAGCTATCTATCTCTTCCAGTTTTCTTTCTTCCGGTTTTTCCATTCTTTACCTTTTCTTTCTTTCATTCTGAATCTGATTCAATCATAGTCTCTCAGTTTTTTGTTATGAGGCCTATCTATCAATCTATCTTTCCATCTCATTTCATCTATCTATGAGTCTATGTTATCTATCTATCTATGGCACCCGCCTGATGGTTGTATTTCAGACCCTTATTCAATCATTTCACTCTGATATTGGCTGATGTTGACTACTCTTTCACTGGTGGGTGATGGACCTTATGCGTCATCTGATCTTTCAATCTATTTAATTTTTCTTTCTTGACTTTCAAATTCATGTCTGAATTTTTTCTTTTTGGATCTTCTCTGGTCTTCTTCATTGGTAATTCTGTTGAAGAATCCTAGCGTCTGGGAGATATGAGCATGTACTCGATGTTTCATCCAACGGTTGTACTCTATTCTCTTTCGGACAGGGCGTGTCCCGTTCAGCTCTCTTGAATTTAGGAAGTCTGCCAAGCCATATCTATCTCTGCATCGGTGTAGGAATGTCAGATGGTTCGTATTCGTGCCCAGTTTTGGTAGGATTATCTATTTTATCCATATTTTTGGTATATCGGGTCAGTTTCTTTCTTTGTCTATTTTTCATTCTTTATTTACATTTCGGACTTTCCTCATCTTTGAATCATATTCATATCTTTCTCTACGCTGAATCCTTCTTCAGGTGGTTGGAATTTCTATCTGAATCTATTTCGATCTATCTGTTCTAATTCTGCCATGTTTGATGGATGTCAGTTATCAGTTATCTGCTAATTTTCAGTCCGAAAGTTCTCCACTGCCTTAATCTATTGAACTCACCTTCTTTGGTCTGTCACTGGATCTAACCAATCTTTATCCACTGTGCCATGTATCTGGAGGACATCTATCTATCTATCTGATCTACATCCATCAAACTATGGAATTAGAACTATCTATCTCAGCGTCGAAATAAGTTTCAGTTTCTTTCTTTCTATCTGAATCTATTCATATCTATCTCTCTGAATCTATACCTCATCTAAGAAATCTATCTATCATGGTCCATATTTTATCTTTCTATCTTCTATCTATTTGCAGTCCGCAGGGACTGTCATATCAATAAGGAGATCTGTTTTTATCTACGGTCTCTAATAAAATGTCTGGGCGGTTATCTATGATTATTCTCTCTGTGTATTATCTAGTCTATCTATCTATCTCGTAACCGTGTCTGGGTTGTTTCATTTTTTTTTTTCCTTCAGCAAATTTAAATTTTCTTGCAGATATTTTCACTCTGTCGTGCCGTGTTTTATATCTATCTGCCAATATCGTGCAATCTGATCTATATATTATCTATATATTCTACCTATTATTATTATATATTATTATATAAATATAATAAAATATAAGATCAAATGATGATCACGATTAACTAATTGGATGTTGCTAGAGATTTTTATATTATATATAAATCAAGGATCTTTTATGTTTATCTTTTTAGTTCATTTATAACATTTTCTTTATTTTCTTATTTTAATTCTTTATTTCTTTTCTTTCAATCTGAAATCTATTGATTCATTCTTTTCTCTGAATCTATCTATCTATCTATCTATCTATCTATCTATCTATCTATCTATCTATCTATCTATCTATCTATTTCAGTCCGTTCATATCTATTTCAGTCTGTTCATATCTATCTATCTATCTATCTATCTATCTATCTATCTATCTATCTATCTCAGTCAGTTTCTTTCTTTCTTTTTTCATTCTTTATTTCTTTCTTTCTATCTGAATCTATTCATATCTATCTCTCTGAATCTATCTATCTATCTATCTATCTATCTATCTATCTATCTATCTATCTATCTATCTATCTATCTATCTATCTATTTCAGTCCGTTCATATCTATTTCAGTCTGTTCATATCTATCTATCTATCTATCTATCTATCTATCTATCTATCTATCTATCTATCTATCTATCTCAGTCAGTTTCTTTTTTCTTTTTCATTCTTTTTTTCTTTCTTTTATCTGAATCTATTCTATCTATCTGAATCTATTCATATCTATCTATCTATGAATCTATCTATCTCCGTTCATATCTCTAGTCAATCATATCTATCTATCTATCTATCTATCTATCTATCTATTTCAGTTTCTTCCTTTCTTTTTCATTCTTTATTTCTTTCTATTGAATCTATTCTATCTATCTCTGAATCTATCTATCTATCTATCTATCTATCTATCTATCTATCTATCTATCTATTTCAGTCCGTTCATATCTCTTTCAGTTTTTTCATTCTTCTATTTATTTCTTTCTATCTGATCTATCTATTCAGTCAGTTCTATCTTTCTATCTGAATCTATTCTATCTATCTATCTATCTATCTATCTATCTATCTATCTATCTATCTATCTATTTCAGTCCGTTCATATCTATTTCAGTCTGTTCATATCTATCTATCTATCTATCTATCTATCTATCTATCTATCTATCTCAGTCAGTTTCTTTCTTTCTTTTTTCATTCTTTATTTCTTTCTTTCTATCTGAATCTATTCATATCTATCTCTCTGAATCTATCTATCTATCTATCTATCTATCTATCTATCTATCTATCTATCTATCTATTTCAGTCTGTTCATATCTATCTATCTATCTATCTATCTATCTATCTATCTATCTATCTATCTATCTATCTATCTCAGTCAGTTTCTTTCTTTCTTTTTTCATTCTTTATTTCTTTCTTTCTATCTGAATCTATTCATATCTATCTCTCTGAATCTATCTATCTATCTATCTATCTATCTATCTATCTATCTATCTATCTATCTATCTATTTCAGTCCGTTCATATCTATTTCAGTCTGTTCATATCTATCTATCTATCTATCTATCTATCTATCTATCTATCTCAGTCAGTTTCTTTCTTTCTTTTTTCATTCTTTATTTCTTTCTTTCTATTTGAATCTATTCATATCTCTCTGAATCTATCTCTGAATCTATCTATCTATCTATCTATCTATCTATCTATCTATCTATCTATCTATTTATCGTTCATATCTATTTCAGTCTGTTCATTTCATTTCTATTTTTTTCATTCTATCTATCTTATTTCTTTTTCATTCTTTATTTCTTTTCTTTCTATCTGAATCTATTCATATCTATCTCTCTGAATCTATCTATCTATCTATCTATCTATCTATCTATCTATCTATCTATCTATCTATCTATCTATTTCAGTCCGTTCATATCTATTTCAGTCTGTTCATATCTATCTATCTATCTATCTATCTATCTATCTATCTATCTATCTATCTATCTATCTCAGTCAGTTTCTTTCTTTCTTTTTTCATTCTTTATTTCTTTCTTTCTATCTGAATCTATTCATATCTATCTCTATGAATCTATCTATCTATCTATCTATCTATCTATCTATCTATCTATCTATCTATCTATCTATCTCTATCTATCTATCTATTTCAGTCCGTTCATATCTATTTCAGTCTGTTCATATCTATCTATCTATCTATCTATCTATCTCATCTATTTCTTTCTTTCTTTTTCATTCTTTATTTCTTTCTTTCTATTTGATTCTTTATTTCTTTCTCTGAATCTATTCATATCTATCTCTATGAATCTATCTATCTATCTATCTATCTATTTCAGTCTGTTCATATCTATCTATCTATCTATCTATCTATCTATCTATCTATCTATCTATCTCAGTTCTTTTCTTTTCTTTTTCATTCTTTATTTCTTTTCTATCTGAATCTATTATCTATCTCTCTGAATCTATCTATCTATCTATCTATCTATCTCATCTTTCTATCTTTCTATTTTTCATTCTTTATTCCTTTCATTTCTATTTGAGTCTGTTCATATCTATCTCTCTGAATCTATCTATCTATCAGTCTATTTCTTTCTTTCTTTTTTCATTCTTTATTTCTTTCTTTCTATTTCAGTCTGTTCATATCTATCTATCTGAATCTATCTATCTATCTATCTATCTATCTATCTATCTATCTATCTCAGTTTCTTTCTTTTTTTTTTTCATTCTTTATTTCTTTCTTTCTATCTGAATCTATTCATATCTATCTCTCTGAATCTATCTATATCTATCTATCTATCTATCTATCTATCTATCTATCTATCTATCTATCTATCTATCTATTTCAGTCCGTTCATATCTATTTCAGTCTGTTCATATCTATCTATCTATATATCTATCTATCTATCTATCTATCTATCTATCTATCTATCTATCTCATCTTCTTTCTTTCTTTTTTCATTCTTTATTTTTTTTTTTTATCTGAATCTATTCATATCTATCTCTCTGAATCTATTCATCTATCTATCTATCTATGAATCTATCTATCTATCTATCTATTTCAGTCTGTTCATATCTATCTATCTATCTATCTATCTATCATCTATCTATCTATCTATTATCTATTCAGTTTTTCTTTTTTTTTTTTCATTCTTTATTTCTTTCTATCTGAATCTATTCATATCTATCTCTCTGAATCTATCTATCTATCTATCTATCTATCTATCTATCTATCTATCTATCTATCTATCTATCTATTAAACATTCAGAAGTCAAACGTTAGATTTATGTTTCCTATATGTTCTTTATCTCATCATTCTATCGGATTTCGATCCATATTGGATTGGTTTCGTTTGTTTTCCTCTACGGCATATCAACCTCAATAGGTTATTTAATGCCGGCAAAATTTTTATTGTTGGTAATATTTTGTTATGTCAGAATTCTATTTCTGGTAATATTTTTCCTTCAAATATGTATCGCTGGTAATAATTTTTTTTTTTCAAAAATGTATTGCTGGTAATAGTTTTTTTCTTCAAAGATTTATTGCTGGTAATAATTTTTTTACAATGTATTTCTGGTATTAAAACCTATTTTTACACTTTCATAGTGCTTTTACCCCAATTTCGGGGTTAACTATTTGCCCATAGCTGGGACACTAACAGGTGCTACCACCCTGGGTGAGGGTGGACCTGGGAACACCAGCAATTAAGAGGAGGTACCATGGTCCTCAAAACCTCCTGATCAGAGGCCTTGCTGCTAGTTTATCGTCTTACCCACGACGCCCATATTTGATCCATATTTTATCCCAAATGATATTTCATAAATACGTCCTTGTTCTTGTCTCTTATCCCTAAAAAAAAAAAAAAAAAAAAAAAACACAGCAAAAAAAGCAAAAAAACAAAACAAAACAAAACAAAAACAAGAAACAAAACAAAACAAAAACAAACCCATCGAACAATTATAATAAAATGATCGACTTTAAACAAAAATGACATCATTTTTTTTTCTCTGAAAGAATCAATTTCTGCTGCTCTAATGACACACTTGAGTCATTTCATTTGATATGCAAACAATTCTCCAGTTTTTCAGTCATACGAAGGGAACAGCAATCGCAGTCGAGCAAAGAGCAGTCGTTAGCTGTGATCCCCTGGAATCACATGGTAACGACTGCACACAGACACACACATACACACGGTCACGCACACACACATACATATATATATATATATATATATATACGCGCATGCGTGCTTGAATGCCGAAGTTGTTGCATATTTCTCATTGCTGACTGAGGTTTAAGCTCACTTAAAATCCAGGATTTCATATGTCGGTTTTCAAGAGATGTTGGCCCTTTAAAGATTGGCGAATTATAACCCCACCTTGCCCCCGGCGTGGCTTAAAGCCAGAACAAAATTCTGTTTCTCTTTCTTTCTCATTCTCTCTCTATCCACACACACACACACACACACATACACACACACATATAGACACAGAGACAAACACACATACATACTACATACAACTATACTTAACTTGGAATTGGTACTTCAACCTTGCTTGTATGTCCACATTGTACTTAAAGATGAAGAATTTCCAGGAATCTTGCAGTAAAAGTGACCATAGTTAATTTCAAAGATTAAATATAAATTCTAAATAATCTAAAGCCAGAAGAAAGTTTCTGTCTTTGAGACGAAATATGGCATGCACAAAGGTGGGGCCAATGAGAATAAATCTCTATATTTTTTAATGCCAGGTCCTTTAGAGAAAGTAGACGATCATGGCTGGCCACATTTTCCTTCCCTCTTTAATCTTGTTCTGGTATCTATTTTCTCAAACTCGTTATGTCGCTTGTCTTCAGTATGTCGCGCGAGTGTTTCGTCCTGGGTATGACGATAAACTACATCCGGCACTGATGGGGAGAATGGAGGTTTTGAGGGGCGTGGAACTACCTCTTAATTGCTGTTGTTCCTAAGTTCACCCTGACCCGGGGTGGTAGCACCTGTCAGGGTCCCAGCTATGGGTAAATAGTGAACCCCACAAACAAAAATCAACAATACATATTGATAGTAAAGTCACAATACAACACAAAAAATGTATATATTTTTGTAATGAAATTACCAGCAATATATTAAAAAAAAATCATTTACATTATTTATATCATTCAGACTCTTATCCCCATCTTTATTGTTATATTTACGACGTTTCGGCCGTTGTACGCTCCGACCTTCTTCAACCAACAAAATTTTGGAATTTTTGGAATTTCGAAACTTAACTTTTATTTAGTGCACGGGGATAGATGCTTCTAATTCCAAGTGCCATACCTTTTTTTAAGGTGGGGATATCTCAGTTTCAATTAATTCACTTTAGTAACGTGACTCTCCAAGTTTTTGTTCACTCTGCTGTGGCCAGGTATTGAACTCACAACTCTTTGGGTCAAATCATTTTTTGAATAACTTCAACCAACGTTTTTTATTCACTGTCCCATGTGTGCTTTAACAATCTACCCCCGCGGACTGAATAAAAGGGTTCAGTTCGAAATCCCAACGTATATCACATGAAGAAGGCTGGAGCGTACAACGACCGAAGCGTCGTAGATATGACAATAAAGATGAGTCCGAATGATGTAAATAGCGTAAATAGATACAGTACCTCATCGCAGAAATATAGACAGGTATCTTATCATCTACAAGCTATAGATCTAAAAAAAAATACATTTATTCTGAAAGTAAAAAATTATGTACAAAATACCTATAGTTGAAAGCATAAAAGTACGTACAAAATATTTAGATTTTGACATTAAATAACCCATAAAAGTGTTGATATGCCATGGAACAAAATCAACCAATCAAAACCCTGCGTGTGTTAATTTTTTCTGCCATTTCAAGTATCAGTTTCCTTGTAGTTCCTATTTTCCTTTAAACTTTCCCGTTGCTCACATGTTCTGTTCATGGCATTCTCAGCATCCTTCTGTAGAACAAAATCTCTTCCTCATCGGTTTACTAACAGCCACTACCATATAGGAGATTAGATGTTATATAAAAGTTTAGAACTCTTTTCTTTGTTTTTAACGACATTTTTCTTTTTCTTGATGCTTTGATTCTGAAAGGCATCTTTTACTATATCTCTGCGCCTTCGTATTTCGTCAACTGCTACTACATTACCCAAATAGTTAAATTTGTATGCCCAGTTGATTTCGATGCCACCAATACTCACTTCACGCCTTGTGCTGTTTCCTTGCATTCCATCTTCTTACGGTTAATGGTTAGTCCTTTCTTCTTGCTTTCCTTTACGACATTGTCTAACAGTTTTCTTTCTGAGTTCGCCATCAACACAACGTCATCTGCGTATCTTTCGATGCTCAAATTATGTGTGCCAATCCTGGAAGGTTTCCTCGTTCTGTGAGGATCATCTTGCCGTAGAGGTTAAATAAATCCGGCGGGGAAAAGTCATCCTTGTCCGACTCAGTCTATTTTAGTGTTTACCGCTGAACAATTTCTTTCTGCGCGCGCAAAGCTGTTTACGATTATCTTTTGCCTCATTGTTAAAATAGTTGTAGCTAAAGATTAATACGTCTGGATTAACTTGATGACGTCATATCACTTCTACGTTGTTAAAAAAAAATCTTCAGTATTTGTCAGATATTTGAATTGAGAGTTTTACATGTTTAATAAGGTTACTTCTTATTGTATTCTCTTCAAGTAGCAGATGGCGTCATACCACTTAGTAATTATTTTACAGACATTTTTATGAACCCAACAACAGAAACAACAATAACAGCAACAACAACAACAACAACAATAATAATAATAATAATAATAATAACAGCAACAACAATGATAATGATACCAACAACAATAATAAGTAAGAGTTTATAAAGCTTTATTAGACGAAGTCAGCTTAATCGCTGAAAAACGTTATATTTATAGTAATGGATGGTTACAAGCGAGAGGGGAGATGGGGGTCTGCTTATTTTATTATGACAAAAACAATAATAACAATGACAATAGAAAGACACGTGAAAATGTCATGGTTTTTTCTATTTGCATTTTCTAGTGAATCTTAATTCTTAAGTTAATGATTGAGTACGCTCATGATGATTTCTATGACAATAAAATATCTGTAGAAATTTCCCTATCGTATCATTAAATATTTGAGCTTAACAACTTTAACAAAATATTACAACAACAATCATAAATATGAATGCTGGTCGTTTTTTTAAGAAGTAAGGGGGTACAAATGAAACGATTTGAAATTGACAACTTTTCTTTATTCATTCATTTATTTTCTCACTGAAAATAAGTAATGTCTTTTCTCCTCTTTGCACGCGACCAAAACGGAATAGTCCATTCTGAGATATTGACAGGAGACGTCAAACATTTCTTTTCATTCATTCATTCATTCATTCATTCTTTCTTTCTTTCTTTCTTTCTTTCTTTCTTTCT